AGGCATTGGAGATGCAAGAATGAATACTAGATTGATTTGGTCTTCAAAGAATTTATAACTTAGTTGGGGAGTGGGGGACAAAATATAATCAACTCACTATAAGACAGTGTGCTGGGTGCTACCACAGAGGTCCTGGAGGTGCAGAAGTGAGAACAATCAAGTACAGCCCAGGGAGTCAGGGTAAAAGGTGAAGAGAACGTTTGAACCAGGCCTTGAACAAGGATTTTACCAATTTAATAAGAAAGGGCATCCAAACAGAAGCAATGGCTCAGACACAAACACAGACACAGAGCCACACAGTCCTAAATACAGAGAAGAGCTCATGTTGTAGCATGACCCGGGTATGCCAGGAGTCGCTCATTAAAGAGTTGAAGGCAGGCTTGAGCCTGAATTACAGGGCCTGATGGAGCATGCCAGGGAATGGGAAAAAATGATGATTTTAGAACTTAACAAAGTCTCTGAAATGTTAAAGCTATCATGAAATTTCTTAACTCCTTGAATGAAGATTTATAAACATGTGCTTTTGATTTGGATAAGTCTCTTTATGGCAGCCTAAATCAATATGTTTTGATTGATTTTTTAATAAGTATAAAACATTATTTTTATTATCATAAAAGTATCTTTAAGGTGATTCTAAGCTCTAGAGAGAAAAATAAACAAAACTTTTAGTAAATACTGAATAGAAATCTGGAAATCATTTGTGAAATTGGATGTTTATTTCTATGTTTAAAGAATTATATTTAGGCCGGGCGGGTGGCTCATGCCTTAATCCTAGCACTCTGGGAGGCTGAGGCGGGGGATTGGAGGTCAGGAGTTCGAAACCAGCCTGAGCAAGAGCGAGACCCGTCTCTACTATAAACAGAAAGAAATTAATTGGCCAACTAATATTTACAGAAAATATTAGCCGGGCATGGTGGCGCATGCCTGTAGTCCCAGCTACTCGGGAGGCTGAGGCAGCAGGATTGCTTGAGCCCAGGAGTTTGAGGTTGCTGTGAGCTAGGCTGACACCACAGCACTCACTCTAGCCTGGGCAACAAAGCTACACTCTGTCTCAAAAAAAAAAAAAAAAGAATTATATTTAAAAACTAAAGCCCCATCTTCACTTTCCTCATTTCCTTCTGTATATTGGTAAGATATACCTGTTCCAGAGACATACCTGTTCCTGTTCCCTTAAAGTATTAATCAAAACACTTAGTTATTTTTCAAGATTATGCCCAAGTCACATCAGTTCTTATGACATGTCCCCAAAACATGAAAATATGGATACATTCAGGACAAGTAATAACCAAATGATTTGTTTTAGTTGGAGTTAATTGCCCAAAATATACTTAGAGTTTATGTTAGAGATCAGGGTTACCTGAGAATTATACAGCATCTTGGCCAATCTATATTCTGATTAAAAATGATTAAGCATCATCATCATCATCATCACCATCATCATCATATAATGAAAAGCCACAAAGTCTCGGCCATTTGTTTACTTTGGGGATGGATGCCAAAGTACAGTATGTGGATATAAAATCTTAAAATTACATAAAATCACTCTAGATTTTCTTCTCTATTTTAAATATGAAAAATATGAGCATCAGAGAAGTTAAGTCATTTATTCAGGCATAGCTGGTCCGTATCAGAGCTGGATCTAAACCCATGATCACTCTTAAGTCCAACTGTCTATTGCACCATGTTTCCTTCCCATTTCTTTTTGGCTGTGACATGACTACTGCTGAGAAATGAGGTTTAGTGGGAAGTAATCCACCCATAGGTTTGGTGGCACCAGTCCGGCCAGTGCGGCAGTAAATGGGGACCCTGGCCCAGACTGCTTCCTTTGGGTGGCAACAGAAAGGGACACCTGGGCTTCCCACACTAATACCTACTTCTGTATAATGGGTGGGGACACACATCTCTCTACATATATGCTTATGTAGCTGTGGTGCACACACATGGGGTTTTAAGGGAAAAATAGCACTTATCAAATGTATTAATATTTGTTCCTAATGTTCTCCAAACTTATATATCAGTTTCTAGGAGAATTTATTAGGGAGCTTTCATGTTACATTTGACATTCCTGAAACTATGAGGTGGAAGGATGGCAGTAAAATAATAGAAAGAAGATTTTCTGATATAAAGTCATAAGGTAGAAAGAGAAAAAAATTAACAGTTAAAGATATACAGGCTGTCCAATTTACCTTGGCTGTATATATAATAAGATATGTTATATAAGTTAGATAGCATCCATATGTTTGAATATACGATTTGACTTGACAAAAAGAAGAAAATAGTAAAATGAAACAAATCTTCAAATGAGTCAGGAAGATTATCCCATGTCACTACTTAAAGCTACAGTAATGCACCAACCCACTTACTGAGGGCTTATTATGTGCCAGGTAGTAAGCTATGCCCTTTTCATATCTTATCACTAATTCTCACAAAAACTTTGCAAGGTAGGTATTATTGCTCCTATTTACAAATGAGTGATCTATGGATCACAGATAATAAGTGAATCACCCAAGTTGGCCAACATATCAGAAACAGAATAGGTTAGAGATTTATATTCTAAGGACTCTAAACCACACATACTTTCCACTATCCCAGTCTGAGTGTCATGGAAGGCACATAAAAATAATGTGTGTGACCTCAGTTTCCTGGAGCTCATTTGTCCCCAAGCTCTGCACTATGTGGTCTAACATCTCAACAGAAACAAAAGTTGATCACTGTTTGAGAGGCTGACTCACAAAGACTCAACTATCATCCATCTCAAGATGGTAGGCCAGGGCAAAGAAGTCACTTGAAACTGAAGTTTTTCCTAGAGTGCAACTGGTGGGGAAAGAGGATTGAGCAATTAATGTGATGTGGCTTATAAGATCATTATTTTATTGTATTGCCCAATATTGCTATATTAAAGACAGAAACAGGAGTTTGCAGGAGTTTGCAGGGTTTTGCCCTGAAGGAATATGTGAACTCATTAGTTCACCTATCAAGGGCTGCCTCGCCTTGAGATGGCTCTCAAAGCTCCTGTATGAATGTTTTCCAAGAGGCTTCCCAGTTATCTCAGAATCTGTGAAGTCTTCCTGTTTTTGAAAGACAAGACAGGTAAATATCTGGCTCACAGAATGGGAGCCAGAGACAATGAATCCCCAAGGCAAGAGATGGCAAGAGACGGCAAGAGACGCACCCGTGTGATTATGAACAATTTGTTTTGTAGAGATGGGCTTCCTGCTCTCTCCTGACTGTCTGCCTTAAGTCCACAACAACTAGATCAAAGAAATATAGAGCCACCATACCTCTTTGTTATTGATAACCATCTCTTAAAACTTAGAAGTTAGTTTTTAAAAGACTTTATATCTGTTTGTTCACCTAGATAGATTAAAATTTGTTAAAAGCCCTTTAAAAGGACTTTTGACCCGAACCCACTACCTGTTACCCATAGCAACCAAAATTATCTGATATGTAAATCTGTTACCCTGGCAACTGATAATTGATATCTATGATTACAAAAACCTATGTGAATCTAACCATAATTCTGGACTACTTACAGAGATGTGGTTCAGACTCCTGAGTACCTCTGCTTTATCTTGATATAAACCTTTAAAACTATACCTCAGCCTCTATATATTCTTTTATTCTCTATTTCCTATCAATTTTCTTATTCTCTATGATGACCACTATCTAAGGGACCTGGCTTCCCAGGGAGAAGCAACTGATCTCCTCACGGCCCTGCCACCCCATATACAACTTTCCAAAATCACTATTTTTAGGTTAGATTAGCTAAAATAATCAAGACCTCAAAACCCCCACTGATCATCCATTTGATGTGAGATGGAAAAGATATCCTAAGCAAAGAGAAAAATGTAGACAAATAGAGGCATGAAAGTGGTTATCATGTTTAGAAAATATTTCATATGTTAGGCAAGAGCAGGGGATATATGTTAGTGTGTTGGTCTAACTGAACACAAGGCTGGGGTGGAAAGATATGGAATGTAGGCACTGCCACTAAGGGCCTGTGAAAACTTAGACAAGCACTTAACATTACTGGGCGTCAGTTTTTTCATCTACAGAATGAAGGGTTGATGCGGACCAGTGGTCAGCAAACTTTTCCTATAAAGAGTAATATAATACATATTTTAGGTTTATAGGCTATACCATCTCCACTGCAACTACTCTACTCTGCCATTATAACACAAGAGCAGACAACACAGAATGAATGGAATCATAGCTGTGCTCCAGTAAAACTTAATTTACAAAAACAGGCAGCAGGCAGAATGTGGATCACAGGCAACAGTTTTCCAAGCCCTGGACTAAACAACAATCTCTGGGATCTCTTGAATTTATACAAATCTAAGATTCTATACTACTACAACAGGACCCTGTAACCAGGACTGGTATCCAGCTTTTATGCACAGGTTATCTATCAAACAGCCTGGTTGGAGCCGGCTACATCAGGCAACATATTTTCTAAACAGGACCTTGAATCACAAAGTCCTTGAATCACATCTTAATTAGATAAACAGGACTTGAACATGGACCTCCCTTGTGGGTTCTTGTGATAGTTCGTTATGTTTTTGTTTTTAATCGCAATCTAGCTTCTATCAGAGTATGCAGATCTTTGTACACATAATAGAAATTATGGAAAATGTAAATATTTGTCAACATTAACCTTTCATGCTAACCCTGTCATGGAAATACAAATAAACAAGAACATTATTCAAAAGAAAGGAGAAACTGAAAAAGATTATGAAGGTAAATGGGAATTAATAACACACAAACTGAGTAATTTCCTTCTGAAAACTCAATATTGACACAACTCTTTATGAATTATCAGAACAATCCTTTTAAAGTCCCCAAAGCACTTGTCTTTGCCTTTTTGGATAATCAGCATTAAGAGCACACTTTATCTCCATGACCCAGTCCCACGCCCTATCACTGGCTCATGTTGTCATAATCTTGACACTAGTGGTGGGAAAAATCCTTTAAGCACTTCTGGAAGCTGATGTCAAATTTACCTGTGGCCAATAGTCATGATTACCCAGTGCAGGTAAAACCTGCAGATTTGGAAAGAAACTCTGAATGGTGGTTGTCATATTAGTGATCACATTTATAACAGTTTCTGTTGAGAGTTCAGCTACGGGAACATGAGGTGGGCTATCCCTGAAAAAAAGACAGAATCATAAAGAACAAATCAGTTTTCATAAAGCATCACTAGACTTATGCATGATGCCTGGCTATAGAATAGAATTTTCTATTCTATAAAATAGAAAATCAACAAAAATGTAATACAAAAAATACACCAGAAACCCTAAAGTCCCAGTCTCTTTCACTGCCACATTGAAGATTTATGAAAGAGAAAAAAAACTACAGCAATTAAAAGCACAGATTCTAGAGCCAAATTGACTGGATTCAAATCCCAGTTTTGCCAATTACTAGCTGTGTACGCTTGGGTAAGTTAGATTCTCAGTGCCTTCATTTCCCCATCTGTAAAATGGCAATAATAATAATACTTATTGTTAAGATTAAATAAATTACCATGTATAAATCAATTAAAACAGTGCTTAACACAAAGTAAACACTTTACAATTATTGGCCATGGTCATTATTGCAAGTGCAAGAAATACAGACCTCCTTACTTTGAAGTGGAACTAGTTAGTTATACCACTTGAAGATGATGCTTTAGAAAATTGCCATGACTGGTTAATTCTCACTGTTGCCTTTTGGCCTTTGATTATTTAATCAAGACCTATTATCACATTAATCAACACCTCAAGACACTAATACAAGTCTACTGTTTATGAATTTATCTCTTTGTTAACACTAACAAATTTCTAAGCCTGTACCCCAAAAGAATATACTATGACTTCTAAAATTGTTCTTATCTCTAATAATGTTGATTAATTTGACCTAGTATTTTTTAACCCAAATAATTCTCATGATGTAATTCATCTCTGTATGGAATTTACCATTCTAACGAAACTGAGGATACTGTGGATAAATACTGAGTAATTCATAGTGTTTCTATAATCACTTACCCTGTCCATATCATGAAAGATGCTTCTTGTCCTGAATTTTTAATAAAATCAAATACCGACAAAATAAGTTGATATGGAGAATCACACAGAACATCTCCAAAGGGACCAGGATTGGAGGCATTTGCACCTTTGGATGAAGAACACACTTTTGTGTGGTCATCTGTGATGTGGTAAGTAGGGTCTAAGTGTAAGTCCGTCACATGCCAAAATTGTCCTGTTGATTAGAAAAAAATACTGATAAATCTACTTTTTTGATTTTGGAATTCTCATACAAATATTTACAGTGAGACTAGAGACAGTTGTTCCTCCCTATGGTGGAGAAAAGCCTTAGTAATTTAAATGTTCATATGTCCAAAGTTAAATACAACCCTTCCCTGTGAGAAGATAAGGATTCAAAGAACAGTAGGAAGAATTTACCACTTATGTGTGTCAAAACTGATGAGCTCAGTTAATACTGACTACCTAAGGAAGACTACACAACCAAGAGAAGTTTGTATAGTAAAATATATGGAGATATTATTCTAGGAGGTCAGTGATAAGATCATCTTGTGTCTTATAGCATGTCTCTTGGTAGAATTTAAGGTTTGGGAAATTATTTACATTCTTCTCGTATAAAATTGGCATAGAAATATGCAGTTTGTTAGGAGTGCATGGTGAGTAGATTGCAGAACAAGGAACTATATAGATTACTCAATTTCTTATATAACCTTGACTCTCAACATAAATTGAAAGAACATAAATCTTTAATACTAGCTTTAAGCCAAAAATAGGAATTTCCTGTGGTTCTTACAAGTTATTTAGCAGAAGTACATCTTCTGTCATACACTTGTATAAAATGTTAATACTATTAGGGAAAACAGTCATTAAGAAGGATGCTTCCATTGGGTTTTCAAGAAGCCAAACCCATTTAATACCATAATGGCTCAGAAATCATCTTAAGGAAGACTCTTTCTGAATCTTCCTTAAGGAGACTGAAGGAATAGAACAAATAATCATAGTAATATCTCTCTATATTAAGCATTTACCATGTGCCAGGCACTGTGATAAGCAATTTAAATGTACTATGTCGTTTCATTCTCAAAACTACTCTCTGAAGTAGGAATCCTGATTCTCATTTTAGAAGCTGAGAAACTAATGTTAGATCAATTAGGACATTTGCCCAAGTATACACAGCTAATAAATGAGAGTCAAACTCTAAACCTTCATTCTGAAGGGCCCCCAAGTTTGCTTATATATAATTTCTATATATATAATATGATTTTGCTGCCTTCTCATAAACAATTTTCAAATTGTTTTAATATTGAGTTTTTTTCACACTTTGAGTTTTTGAATTCGCTCTGATTATGACTAATTTACATCACAAACACAACAAAGGTGACGAGGTAGCACATACCATACCAGAAGCAAAGAGCAAATAAGTAGAATGCAAACTTTTATCCATACAAAAATGATAAAACTTGAATAAAACCCAAAGCTGGGATAATAAAGTGAAAACAGTTAATTTGTTAAGGTGGAAAAGGTAGATTATCTTTTGATTGTTGTTTCTTCCAACATCATTGCTGTAATAATTTTACAACATATTTAAGTTCACAAATAAAAAGTGGTAGACAAAAAATTCAGAAGAAAGTAGACTTAAAATAGTCTTTACAGCTAATAACTCAGCACTTAGTCACCATTTGAAAACATTGGCAAGAGTAATTTGATTAATTTTATTCTATAATGCAGAAAATAACCCAACCTTTATTGCCAGCTTAGATAATAATTTATCCAGCACACAAAGTAAAGACAGTCAATAGCTCAGAATCACCTTAGAGGATGCCTTTCCTTGGAGTATAAGTAGATAATAAGTAGATAATGCAACTCATTTTAATGTAAACAGTATTTTTATTATTTGTAGAATGTTAAGGTATAGTAAACTGCTCACAACAGTATGTAACCAGCTCCATGAACAAAAAATGCCTTTTTGCAGTTTTATGTTTCAAGTTCCCAGGCCAGTAAGATTTGCTGACCAGAACTTTGTAATTTTCTCTTTTATTGATCACCTCCCTTTTGAATTGTTTTCAGAAATAATAAGGAGATAATTACAAGGCCTTACAGTACCCAAGAGGTCAGAGAAGTCAAGATAAGCAGTTCCACAATGAACCTATTCCCCACTACCTGCATGCACACAAGACTGAAAGAATGACCAATATTACCCCCTAGCTCATTACACTACTAAAATCTCCACCCTGAAGAGGCTTACCCACCATTTTTTGGTCATGTAACGTATGTGCCAGTATGATTTCTCACAGTGCGTGCGTGCCCTGCACTCCACCCCAAACATGTAATGATGCTGATTCACTTCATGCATTATTTGCACTATTCATTACCCTTCTAGGTAAAACCCTGACCCTATAAGCCAGAGAGAGGTAATGAGGCAGTCCTCCCACCTCCCTGTTGATGTCCTCTGCAATAAATTTCCTTTCTTCCTTGATAATCCTCCTTATCTTAGTAATTGGCTTTCTGTGTGGCAAGCAACTGAATGGGGTGGGGGGCCTTCATGGGTTCCTTAACAAGTATAGTGTTATGGTTAACAGTGAAGAGTCAGACTGTCTGACTTCCAAACCTAGCTGCGCCACCTACTCATCTAGCTGTGTGATCTTGACCTGCTTCATCTGTAAAATGGGAATAATAATAGTACATAATGTAAGGTTTAAGTGACTTAGTAGAGATAAAGTCCTTAGAAAGTGTAAGACACCAACCAAGTAAGCTCTATGTTAATTTTCCTGTTATTATTTTGTAACTGCAAACGCTGAATTTCAAATTCCCCATTTCCAAGTAATACTTAAAATTCATTGAGCACGTATGATATGTTTAGTACTGCTTTTTATGCTTTACATGTATTAACTCATTATTATTTCCATTTTACAGATAAGAAACTGAAGTGCACAGAGATTAAGTTCAAATTACATATATCACCTGCAACAGATCTAAAATATGAATCCAGGATGTCTGACTCCAGTGTCTATGTTGGCTTTAACAGCACACACTGCCTCTTTGTGTGTGCTCACATTCAAATATCCTCAGTCTCACCTGCCTCACATGAAAACAGATAATGACAAAATCTACTTTCGAGATACTATCAAGATTAAGAAAAATGAGATTATAAACAAAATCAATTTTTATAAACCAAAACTTGAAATGTATTAAGGGCACATCCCTCTGATGTAATGTAGTACCTGGATTTATATATCTCCAGCATCTAGAATATGCCTCACCTGCAGCAGGCCACCAACAAATATTCTTTATTTCTATATGATGACATTTAGGCAAAGACAGGTTTCAAGCTTTCCTTGAGATCACGTGATGACCCAGTAATGAAAGCTCACCTGGAACCAGTCTCTCCTGTCTAATCCTCTTCCTACTACATGGCATTGCCAGACAGAGAAATGAGGGGGTAATTATTTAGATTCACTGAGAGATATCTTTAAATAGAAGCCAAAAACAGAGCTCTGACAGATTCTTAACCTGGGATTTATGAATAATGAACCTCAGGAGGTCTCACTTCCCACCCTTACTGGAATTGTATATAAAATGCTGTGTGCATGTGTGTGTGCATGTATGACGTGGCCTGTGGCAGAGCCCACATCCCAATGCAGGTTCCCTGGTTCAGAGCCCAAAGTTGTTTTCACTATATCATAATTACTTTCTTGTTCTGCAGACCATCTTTAAAAAGATTTCCAAAAATGTCTGTCTCTGTGTTGTGTGTGTGTGTGTGTTCAATATATCTAGGTAAATGCTCAAAATTAAAGCAGAACATCTTTAAGTCAAAGAAAATGTTATAATGTATCCTAAAGGACCCATGAATCATAGTTCATATGTTTGGACATATGGTTGTTGTTTAAATAGGTGTTTGACTATAGGGACTTGACAGGGCAGAAAGCCGAGACTAGAAATTTAAATATATAAATACAAAATAAGCAAGTAGAGGCCAGGCATGCTGGATGTTTAAAAGGAAGTTCAAGCATTTGGGGCTGGGAGGAGGGGAAAGGAATGTTCACATCAAGTGGAAAACATGTAAGATAGGGCACGTAATGTGCATTGTGAAACTGAGTTTCACTTCAGACCTTTGAACTCCAGTTACCAGCCTCCCTTCCTACCAGCCTCCCTTCCTCTTCAATAGTAGGTCATTCAACCTGTGGCTGTCACAAGAAAAGTGTTCACTGAGTCCTTCAGCTGTCAGATCCTTAAAATCCAAAAGGTGAATTTGCCATTGGTTGGTCTCATGCGACCAGAGACATTTAATCTCAAAATCCTCAACAGTCATGGAATTAAAGTAAAACAACTCCAGCTTAAATAAACGCAGAAACCAGCATACATAAACATTTTGGGGCAATATCTTGTTATGACTGACCTTTGCCACAATTGGGAAACCAGATTTACAGTTCTTGTTTCAGACTGCCTGACAGCTGAGTCATGAAGACTCGGCTATCCAAAAAAGAGAAGACATTTGCCTAGAATATTCCCAAAGTCCTGAGAGAGAGCAGAGACGGAGAGAAAGAGAAGTTTCAGCACTAACGTAGTACCGACTCTCAGGGACAGCTCTCCGCTTCTCTAATTTCATTTTTCCTCTAAGAGAGCAATTATTTTTAAAGCGAGTCGGGGAGGTGAAGGCTTCTTGATTTTTAAAACTGAACGCTCAGATGGCATTGTACAATCTCTCATCAAACATTTATCTATTCTGGACCAGTGATTCTCAAACTTTAGCGTCTATCAGAATCACCTGGAGAGTCTGCTGAACAGCGGATTGTCGGACCCCACCTTCAGAGTTTTGGACTCTGTAGGTCCAGGATGGGGCTGAAAATGTGCAATTCTAACAAGTTAGGTGCAGCTGAGCTGCGGGTCCCAGCTCACACTCACACAACTACCACTGCAGCAGCCACTGGGCTGAGTGTTGAGTCGCTCTCCGATTGGGAGAGGGGCAGAAGGCAGAGTGCGACTGAAATTTACACCCGGGAGGTGAAAGGGAAACTCTGCAGTCCCGCTCCGCTCCGGGCAGACTGGGGCAGGTGGGACACATCCAACTCCCAGCTTCCTTTTCCCTGAGACCTGCAGCATTTCCTTCCTTCCCCACAGAGCAAAGCAAGAAGGACTCCGGATGTAAACAAATGCCCCGCCGGCGGAATCCCGCCCTTGGAGCGCCCCCACTGGCGCGGGCATGTCCCCCAGCGCAGCCCCCACCTCCCGGCGCAACGACCGGTTCTCCGCTCCCTCGGTCGCCGTCGCCCCCGCCCTCCCCGCCCTCCCCGCGCCCCGCAGCCGCAGTCCACGCCCGGCGCGCCGGGGGCCCAGCTGGCCGAGCCTCGGCCGGGCGCGCAGCTGTCCCCGCGCACTTTCCGCGACTTTGCCCGGGCGCTCCCGCCCAGCGCTCTCGGCAGCTCCCGGGAGGAAGAGGGTCCCGGACGACTCACCCACCGCCGCAGCGGGACCCCGGCCGCCAGCGGGCGCCAGGGGCAGGCCGAGGCCGGGGCGGCCGTGCCAGGCGGCCAGCAGACAGCAGACGAGAGCGCCCAGCAGCGCCATGGCTGGCCGTGGCACGGAGCCGGGAGGCTCGGGCTGTCCCGCGGTTCCACTCGGACCGCCGGGCCCGGGGCGGGGAGGAGGTACAAGAACGACGCGGTGTAGAGGCCCAGCCTATCACGTGCAAGGGCAGGTTCCGCCGCGGGTCGGTTAGCCTGACCTTCAGCCGTTGCATAGCTATTAGCACTCTTGCTTCTTAACGTCAGTGACTGGCCTGGGAAGGAATGTTTTCGGGCCAACCCCAAGCAGATCATCTTCCTTAAACGCCACCAGGCCCTAAATAGATAGGGCTCCTCAGCAAGATGTAATGCAGAAAGCCCTGAAGTATCGTGATTTGGACAAGGCCAGCAGAAGTTTTGGATAGCGCAGTGGATCTCCAATTGTAGTTTCTGGAGCAGCAGCAGCAGCACCACCACCTGGAAACTCTGAAATGCACATTCCCAGGCCCCAACCCAGACCTATAGAATCAGAATCTGGGGCTGGAGCCCAGCAAGTTCAGCAATTTGTGTTTTCACAAGCCTGGATGGTGATGTTTGAGAACCAGTGCTCAAAGACAACAGGTGTTTTTTTTTGTTTTTTATAGAATATGTCTCAGAATCATGCTCTATGCATTCTAGAGATGCATAGAAATAATAAGGTGGTTGATTTTACTTTTCCAAGTGACATTTGAAGATACTTAGTCTGGCAAAGAAGTCCAAATCCCCAAAGTGCATTGTGTCCTATGCTCTGTGTTCCTCCTCTTAAATTTATGACAATGCTGACCTCTTTAAGATAATACAGCTAAGAATTTAAATTCATAAGGTGTGGAATTACTTTGGAGAAGAAAGTGTCTTCCAGAATTACTAACTTCATAAAAGACCTTGTAGAGTGTATTTGTTTCCCATCAAAGACAACCTTTTTTTGTATCCTGTGTAATTTAGTGGGAGTGTGTCTCATAAAAGGGGCTTTGAAATAAGAATCAAGGCGCCTCTGTTTCCTTTTCAAGTCCTGCCAGGACTGTCCAAGTCTTGCCTCAGCTTTGGGATGATTCAAAAGCGTTTCAAGAAGCAAAGTGCATTCCAATGGTGGACAAAATGGTCGTTGGAGTCTCTCAGTCCACAACTTCCAAAGTATGGGAGAAAATGAAGCAGGGAAAAAAATGGTGAGCTAGTGAGGGAGGACAACTTTAAGGATAGCAAAATAACGTGTGACTTTCTAGTCCAAACATTTTAAAGATAGGAAACGAATAAATTGTAGAAATAGCTATTTTCACCTTTTTTTTCAGTTTCACTACTGTTTACTGGAAGTAAATTTGTTGTGAAATAGATTTTCAGTAAGTAATCATAAAATGAGGCATACACATTTGGAAACTTAAGAAATGTTTGCAATCCTAAAAGGACAATACAGTGTATTAAAATTAGTGGGAGCCCATCCTCCTTTCTATTCACTCTGCTTTCTTTGATTTTTCTTTATACTCACTCTTTTAAAGGCACAAAACTACAGTGCCCCAACATCTCTGTGGGTATACCTCAACCCTGAGCATATATTTGTAGGTGCCTATATTCCAGGTGTATTCATATATCACTGGGAGTGTGCATATCTGGGTAAGGGAAAACACATGTAAGATAAGGACAGAACAAAATAGCCTTAGTCTAGTTTGTATAGTTGAGGTCTTGGAAATTTTTCCTTACCTTTAACTATGTTAAAAAAAAAAAAAAAAAGCAAACCAGAAAGTTACTATATTGACAGATTACTGTGTGAGATAGAATGTGGTTTGAAGAAAAATGATTTGCAACTACCTTGTAAAAATTTAGGAAGCAAAAATCTATCTGTTCATTTTCTTCCTGGAAACTGCATTTGGTGTACCACTGCAACTGTTGGTCTTGTAGCCCATTGTATCTTTGTTTCCCATTTAGGCCACCCAAAACTTTCCATTCTTTACTCTATGAGACAGTTGTTATGGAAGTAATGCCAACAGAATGTTATTTGGCCTCATTATAATGAGCTGAAAATAAATCCCTATCCTTGGCCTTATGTCTTTAATAATAAGAAAGCTAGAATCTGTGCTTGTACTAGAGAATAGGCTGAAAGCACCAAGGATTAAGCAACCCTCCACCAGAAGCAGAGATGATGACCGTCAAAACAGTTGGAGCCAATACCCTCTCAATGTTCTGCTTCATGCTGCTAATGACAGAGGTAAGCCACTATGGTGGTATGCCAGTAGTCCTAGCTATTCACTACTTGGGAGTATTGAGTTGGGAGAATTGCTTGAGCTCAGAAGTTTCAGACCAGCCTGGGCAACATAGCAAGGGCCCATCTCTTAAAAAAAAATAAGTAAATAAATAAGAATTTCCCTCATACTTACAGCTATAAGTTAAATGGATATTAAATTAACTATAAAAACTTACTGAAATTACTAGGCAAATTAAAAATGAATACAGCATTACATACCCCCCAGCACTAAGGCTAACAAAAAAAAAAAGATTTCCTAAGGAATGATCAATGAAAATAAAATTTTGCATTTTTGTTTCAAGAAAAAGCTGAAATATTACTTTTGGAGAGGAAATAAGGGGAAAAATCGCAAAGATTGCAATTCTCAGTTCTATTTACTAGTCATGAGAACTTAGACACATGAATTTAATCTTCAGTTCCCTCATTGGAAAAACAATAACATCTGCCTTTCCTAAAAATAAAAACAATAATAACTGCCTTCTTGCTTCTCATTGTGAAGTTGAGAAAATGTATAAAAATCATCTTGTAAATAATGAAATGCAAAATAATATTTGTTTGTTTGTACTTCACAAGTGCAAATCCTAGCCAGTTATTAAAAGATATCTGCTTCGGTTTGGTTGACTCAATCAGCTTCTCCTTCTCCCCCCCAAAAAGGAATTTGAATGCTTTTGTGCATAACACTCCATTTTGCACTCCTGTTGACTTAGTCCAACTCAATTTAGTTGTTTGGAGAAACATCTTTGTAATTCAGGACAAAGCTCATTTCCTTTTCTAATGTGCCTTTCTTCAAAAGGAAACCTTGATTACGTAATATTATGATTATATATATTTACCTTTTAATAAAACATTTTGATGTACATCATTTTGCTTTATCAGAATATCTGTTTCTAATAAAGACATTGTTTCTGTAGCCCAACCCAATATAATAAGGTTTCTTTGAGTCTTGGCTAAGTGAATTTAATCATTACAGATTCTCCATGGAAGTCTCAACCAAAGCTGTGGTGTTTCTACATTTCATAAGGCTTCTGCTTTTTTTCTTTTTTTGTAAATTATTATTTTAAACAAGGTGCTATAAGAATGGCTATTTTATTTACAATTCTCTAATATATGATGCCTAGCCAGATTAATGATACTAAACACAGTGACAAAATTTCACACGTAAGATTTTTATTCCAATTTGACTTGCATTCCAAAGGAAATTATAAAATGTATATTCTTTATAAAAAAGTGAAAATTTTTTAATGTGAATTATAAAACATGATAAATTTGGAGATTAAAATTGGGCTAGTTACTTGGAGTAACAAATTTTTAAATCACCATTTTAAATCACCACACCAAGGATAACCTTCTAATTAGTGATCAGCTGTGCTGTAATAGCAGGATAACACTGAGACTTGAGTAAACAGAAAAAATCAAAGAGCTTCTCCAGCGCCAGACCAGGAACTTTTCTATGCCTTCTCATAGTGGCGAACAGCAACCACATCCCCAAAAGTAAGAGTCTGAAACATTCAAAAGATAATCAAATCTTTTTACACAGGAACATCAGTAGCTGAATTTTAAAGATTATCTCATGTGTAATCTAAATATTATGCAAAACAATTTTATGCATATTAAGCACGGCATAAGCTCTTCTTTTCTTAAAACAAACAAAAACCCCTTATATTTTTTCAGTGAATACTATGCATACATAGTTCATGTCTCTAAAATGAGAATCTAGTGCAAGCTGAAATTAACAATTTAGACTGAGGTCAAAAGAATTTCTTTAGTCTTAAATTATCTGGGTAATTGAGCAAATTGGGGTGAGGAATGAATTATCTACATTGTTGTCTCAGCTATCTGCTTTGAAAGTGAATGAAATTTATGATAGGCTTTCAAAATAACAGTTTTCACTTCATAATCTATATAAATTTTGAGTAGGCTTTAGAAAATCACATCTTTTGAGCCAATGGCATTTGGAATGACTTGTTCCAAAATCAACAGGAACATGTACATGTACAAATGTTCTCCTTGGTTTGGCTGCCATGTTTTAGCCTATGTGAACCCAGTGGTTAGGTGGGTCTGATGAGGAACGTTGGCTTTATTACTTCAGTATCAAGTCCAACTTGAAAAATTGCTATAAAACCACTTTACAAAGTTTAGGGGGTTGTGGTGGTCATTATTTTTATGTATTGCTGTGATTTTCAAGAGCATCCTGTATCCTCGCCACCCATTGTTTCAACTTTCCTTTTTGAACTCAGTATGGCCTGATTACAGCCACACATGCCACAGTTGAGCTGTCTGCTTTTCTGTATGCAGGAAAAAACAGTGGAAGTAAAAGAGTGAAAGAGAAATTCAGATTGAATCTGTTAGAAATGAATCCTTTCTTTTGTTGATTATTGAAGAAAAAAAATGTGGATAAATATCCTTTAGCATGAAAGGAAAACTGTCCCTGTGCTCCCATCTCACATCCACAGAAGCAAAAATACCTCAATCTGATTGCAATAGACAGCTCTGATTGCAATAGTCAAGGGGGGAAAAAGGAAACAATAGTCGATTTTCTTAAATAATAACAACAAAAACAAAATCTTTTCTGTTGTCAGAAAGAATATGTAAAGCAATCCGCCCCCACATGAATGAATGAGCCTACTTGACTTTGTCAATATCATCAAAATACTATTAGTCCACACAAAAAGTGTCTGAGGAAGGCTTGGTCAAGGCATAATACTCCCAGTTTGTGATGCTGCTCCATCATTAGAAAAATTATTTGTCAGGTAGGGAGGGAGAGAAGAAAGTGGGGATGAGGAGGAAGAGGAGAGGGGGAAGAGAGGCAGGGAAGAAGAGGGAGAGGAGAGGAGAGGGGATGGGTAGGGAGGGAGCAAGGGGAAGGGGTTGAGAAGGCTTGGGGAGAGGGTAAAAACCAAGAACTGTCATTACTTACCATAACCATTTTGCCATCTTTAATTTCTCTTACAAAATTTGTTTCTTTGCCATCCCATTTCTGTACATGAATGAGTTTGTCTCCATCCAGGCTAATAACAGACTGAGTGAGACCAACAACAAAATGCAGAACATAACAATGAGTACAAGTCAGATTTCTGATATGGAAAACAAATGACATGACTTTTGACAGAGTTATATAATTGAATAAATCGTAATCAACTAATTCTTTTGTTACCACATCCTCTGTTACTTCTAGATTTATTATTATGTAAGTTCTAGTAATCCCTAATTTGATTAAAATGTGTATATCTACATGCAAAAACTTTATATATCATAAATAAAAAATCCTAAACTAGTGCTTTCTGACTAGTCACAGTTCTGGTTTGAACAAATCCTAAGAAAGGCAAATTGTTTATTTAGTTGATCTGAGACAACCAAAGGTATTAAACAAAGCCCAATCTTTCTTTTAAACAAGCACTATTAAATACTTTCTGAAATATGTTTGATACAAAATGTAAACAATGTATGGTAAGCAACATATACAGTCAAGATTTGAGCTATACAAGAAGTACCCATTGTTCAAGTACCCATGTGCTCACCAGTATGCTAAATTAACTTTGATATCTTTCTCCCT